AGGCGATGCTGCACAATGATGTGACCATCTAGGAACTTGGAAGATTTGGATCACTGAACCTAATTTGGGTGCCATTACCAAACCTATTATCATTTTTTTTCCATAAATTTAAAGCCACATGCCCAGGTCAGCAGCCACTGGCCACTTCCATTAAGTGTGGACATCATCTGCTTTGTTACCTTGCATGGAACAAGCGTTAAAACAAATGACAGCTTGTGTGCATGGAATTGGTTGGGCTCTCGAGAGAACTCAACTACCTCCTATCTTCTCACACAGCTCTGGGCATGGAAGCACAGTTACTCCGAAGAGAAACTTTGCTCTGAACTACTGCGAGGTGCCTAGTCTTGGTGATTCAGTTTTCTACCTATAAAATGCTGTTTGTTTTTTAACCGTGATCTGTTTCATGGGAATGCTGTGAAGATGTATGTATGTTTGACATATCTTATGCATGCGTTTTTGTTTTCATAACACCAGGGAAACCAGGAACTACTGAGAAATATCTAGAAAAGTAAAACGTGGTCATACTACGCCATCAAGATTTGGTCCTTCTTTGTTTACTGCTGTGGGGAGGAGGAGAGTGGAACTAGATAACATTTTATGTCCCTTCCAGCTGAATCCATTCCATGATTCTATGCTTCTGCATTTTCCGTTAGAAAGGAGATATGAAGTGGCCAAAGTCAGATTATTTTCTTATCTGTTTGTTATATACTTGTGTATAAACATCCAAATTCAGTGTAATTTCAAATTATCCATTAGCACCCTTGTAAAAACTCAGCCCTTGTACTTTTCTAAGAAGCCTGCAAAAAGAAACAGCTACAGGGTCAGTCTTAGGTATAATAGATTTTTCTTTTAGGCTTCAACAACAAAATAGTTGGTGGTCTCTCGCGCTACTGCCTTTAAAACATTCCTGGGTTTTATTAGGATAACCCATAAATCTGGGAAGTCCCCCCCCTAAGAGCAGCAGCAGCTTTTGTTCACCAAACACAAGTTTCTTCTTGTACGTTGTTGGACTCAGGGGTGTCTGAACTCTGAATGGGTGGCTAAGGGCAGAACAGGCAACAGGTTTCAGGGTTTTATGAGGGGAGGGAGAAAGGCAGCCCTGCATTATGGTGCTAATGTATAACACCACCTGAAACATGAAAGGATTTCATCCAGCTCCTGTTATATACGTGGACAGATCCTCAATCGCTGTTATACAGTGAAGCTCCACTGACCTCCAGGAAGCTGTGCTGATTTACACCCCCAGCTCCAAACCTACATCTAAATACCACATTGTCCTCAAAATGTGAGAGAATGCACAGATTTCTCTGGCAAAACTTTCTATGGAACCACCTGCAAATGAACATGTTTTCTGAAGTGCATAAAATATACGTACGTAGAGCTAACACACAATTTCTAAGAATCACAGTAATATCTTCCATTGGAAATGACCAGGTTGTTCCTTTTTGCCTGGAAAATAATGCCATGGCTCACTATTCTTACGAAATTACATTTCTTCTTGGTTTATTATTGCTGCCTGATCTCATGAGCTAACTTTTCAGAGGAGCACATGTCAATTTATTTACATACGTGCCAGTTACATTAATAGAAGTTGCAATGACTCATCACTGCACATTGCTGAAAATCCTGTCTCATCTTCTCAGTAAGGTTCCTGCTCTATGTGAATTTCCTCAGTTTACCTTACTAGAAGTTCAGGCATCCTTGCCTTCTTGAGAAGAAAAGTTCCCTTTTCTTTCTGAGGTAGATAAACCATTAACAAGGTCTGAGGTGTCTTGACTTTGTTACGAGGGCCACTGTAAACTACAATCCTATCTGGGATTCAAATCCCAGCTATCTCCCTGGCAGAGGACTGCTGCTTGCTTTGCCTCCTCTCAGCCCCTGTTCAATGAAGCTCCAAGATCTCACACACATACACACAAGCAGTAAGAATATCTCATTCAGATTTAGAACACTTCCACAGCATCAAAACACCTGTATAAGATCAGATGCATCTCATGAGGCTGGATCTGGCTGGACTGTTAAATACCTGATATAGCTGATATTTGTTTATATTAATAGTTTTTCCTCTATTCCCTTTCTACTCTTTCATATAGTTGCCACATCTTCATTTCTTCACACCTTTTGCTTTTTCTCAGTTCCACTTGATTTATATCCTTATTCTCATGCTCTCACAGTCTCAACTTTACAAAATACAAATCCAGCCACAATCGAACTGAACTTGATAACCTTATAAGGCCAACATACACACAAGATTAAGCAAATTGCTCAGTAATCCATGAAACACCTGCAGGTAAGTAGAAGCATGACTCAAAATACTTATGGTGGGCTTTTCACAACTCCTCTGTGCTGGCCCAGCACAGCTCCCAAAGGGAGCTTCTCAACACTCCACTGCCATATTTTAAACTCCTGAACTAGAGTTCAGAAACAATCCCCTGAGAATACTGTGTTTCCTTGAAAAGGATAACAGATGGTGTTCTATAGGGAAGAGTCCAGTCTGGGGCATCTTCTTCATGAAGACGATGAACATGTTCACAATTTAGGCTGTCAATCTGTCTGAGTGAAAGGCAGAGCTGGGACAGCTGAGGGGTGCTGCATAGAACGGCAGTCATATTTCAGATATGTACACATGTGGACACCTACTTCACAGAATTTCAGCACCCTGTTCTTACTTAAGAGTCTGCAGATAAACTTGAAGGGCAAGGGCAGTGTTTCCCAAGTGAGTTTTGGTGAGGATTACCTGAATAGAGCCAATAAATTTTGAAAGTATGGTACATCAATAATGAGATTTGTTAATGGCACTGCTATTAGTAGACCATTTTAGACAGTTTTACTTGCTTGCAGAAAGGAATCAAACCAAAAGAAAGCTATCCCTGTCCCAAAAGAATTAGCATTCATGTCAGACCAGAATCATCTAACATGAAGGACGTGGTAGTGCTGGAGGGATGGTTGGTCTAGATAATCTTAGTGGTCTTCTCCAACCATAATGATTCTGTTGCAACATCCACAGTTTCCATTTCCGCAGCAATGCAAAGGAAAAGATGAGGATGTGACCTTAGCAAAGAAAGATTTGCAATTCAAACCCATCATGGAGCACAGCCATGGAGCCTAAAAAAGGGGAAGCAGCTTCCCCTGGTCACATCATTGAGCTGAGCAGAACTGAACCCAAGTATATCAAATCCCATGGCAGTGCTTCGAGCATCCTTCCACTTAGGCAGCTTTACCTAGGTAGCCTCAGAGGTCCAAGATCTGCCCTAGGGTACGTATTGGCCTCATTAACTTACTCTAAATAAGAGCTGTGAGCAGAAGTTGGCCCACAGCAAGTAAGATTTATGGACTGAAAATGCCACATACTTTTCTTTTTATTCAGTGAGAAAAAAAAAACAACAACCTGAAACAAGCTGAGCAAAGTAAATGAATCAAGACTGTATTTTTCATTCTGCAAACACAAAAATATATACATATGAACATAAAAAACACAGGTGCCTAAGTGCTGCAGTCGCCTCCTAAATCTGCTATAAAGCACGAATGGCTGTATTACACTTTCCTCCAGAGAGATACATAAATCACTTTTTTTTTTGAAGGGGGAAAAATCATCTTAAATAACCGTGTTTTAGGATTTTTTGTTTGGTTGGTTTTGTTGGTTGTTTTGGGTTTTTTTTGCATCTTTTCCTCCAAAGCCCTGCGACCCTTCCACTCAAATTAAGTCTATATAGGTGTCGTTCTCTTTGAACATAAACTGCACAACAATTTATTCTCAGCAGGAAAAGGCAAAGCTTTGGTTATGCTGCATTCCTAATATTTTTTGCAGTTTATGGAAAACTCTCATAAACAGTACAACACAGTAAGCTTTCTCTGCTAATATGCTGTCTAGACTCTTAAAATATGAGTTCTCCTTGCCTACTGTGTATCATGACTTAAACTTTTGACCTCGTTCCTTTTCCCTTTGACCACTTCATAAGCTTTGACCCTTTCAAGTATTTAATACCCAAATGGCACATCACCCAAGCTGCTGGGGATATAAGAACAAGTACTCTTAAAACATCTCTTTTATTGTGAAGCCAAAAAACCTAACTGCGGCTCTAACATGCAAAGTTAGAAAATGTCTTCTGCCTTCATACAGCCTCCAAAACACCGCGCTGAGCATGGATGGCATCGATACATTACAGAAGTGACAGCAGAAAATTCTGTAACACCATCACATACGTGCTAGAAAGGGCAGAGGGTTCCTCGTGGAACCATGCAAACACTGGGGCATTGCTAATGCATGCCTTTGATTTCTGTTTATGGCCCCCAAGTTGAGTGATCTGTCTTGTTGGCACCAACCTATTTTTAAATGATGTAGCAGCTGGCTCAACACATACTTCAAAGATTTATGCTCATGTCACAAAGCCCACTTACTGAGAGGGGAAACTGTGGAGTAGTTTCTATAGCTTATCCCCCATGCAAATACGGTCTACATATTTCATCCTGGGCCATCATAGCATACATTTTAACAAGTAAAAGGAAGAAGTGGTGAGATATGTAAGGAAAGGCAAATATGGAACAACAAACACAGTAATGAGGTCTACAAACCTGGAAGTTACTGAAGGAGGATATCTGGAGCTAGTCATACCTGACAGAGAACCACAGGACTTTTCATCTTGGCTCTTCACGTTCTATCACTAACAATTATTTAAAGACACTCTTCTGCATGATGCCACTTAATACGATGTTAGCCTACAATGCTTCGCCATTACAAATAGCCTGGGTGAAATCCTGTGGTTAACTGCTGTTCCAGCAGTGGCCGATCAACCTTGCCTTAATGCAGCTCTAGAAATCTGAGGGTCCATAAGGGAATATTTTTCATTACTGACTAAGAAAACGTACATAACTCCTGGTGCTATTTTCCTAGCTCACTGGATGCGGACACTCGTACCGAGAGCTGCAGAAGTGTGAGAAACAGAAAGCTGCCAGAGTACCACTGGAACGTTCAGGCCTGTTGTGATGGGACGGGCACTCACCAAACAAGCCTGAGAGAGGAGTTCCACCATGAGACGCTCAGAAGGGGAGTGCATATTTCTGATGACTGTCACCAACTGCTCTGATGCTGTGAGGGAGGACCTCCCTGCCCCGGTCTCTCGACAACCTGAGGGAAGAGAAACAATGATCCCATCTGAAACAGGTATTTGTTATCTTCAAATCAGCTGTGTCTGTTGAAAGACAATTTGAACGTAAAGTAAGACACTGATATCTTTATTAGGAGAGCTAAATCTGTCTGCCTGAATGAAATCCCAATAGCCCAACCCTCCCATACACTGCTTCACATCCCTACAGCCCACTGCATCCATGCACCCTATCAGCTTTTCCCACGCCACAGCAGTCACAACTCATGGCACTGTCCCACTTGGGAACCATGATCTCCCTCTCACCACCTGGGATTGTCTGTTCCGACCCACCAAAAGCAATCCTGTAGGCTGGGCAACCAACCAGGGGAGCTGTTCTTATCCTCTCCTGTCAGCACAGGTGGGCCCTCCTCATGGAGGACGTGCCACAGAGCATCACCAGACACAGGGGCAGACAAGATGGCAGCTGTGACTTTGTACATCCCATTTGCACATCCATGCCATGGCTGCCGTGAAAACTGACCGGCACTGCATGCGCAGAGAAGTGTCTCTACCCACAACCACAGGCAAATCACCAGGAGTCTCCACATGGGACAGTCCACCAAAGCCCATCCTCAAACTAGGCAAGCAGAAGACCTTCTTCACCCCTAATCTCTGCATGTCCCAACGCATGGGGATATTCAGAAATCCCTTCTGCATCGAGTCCTGCCATGAAGGTAGCACTACCACTGCATCTCGTTTTGCATCTCTGGCTGCTTAGAAGCTGTTTCCTGTGCTGTCTGGTTTAGCATCCTAAAATAAATTAGTTTTAAAAGAGAGATGTAATAAAAGTGTCCAAAATCAACCAGTGCTCAAACACTTGGAATACAGAAAAATTTTAACAGTATGAAAACTTAAACCACATAGACAAGGAGATTTTCCTCCCACTTAGTTTTACTGCAAGGTTGATGCTGGACTCATCTGGACCTTCTGGGGAACTCCTCACCCAAGCCACCTCCAGAGCATCCAGGCATTCATTCTGCTGACCAGAGGCCACATTCATTGGTGGTGCGTACCAGAAGGTCGGAATACGGCCATACCCATGTGGATTCTCCTTGCAGGCTCTTCTCCTACTACAAAAGCATTTCAATTTTCTTGCAAAAGGTATTTCTAAGCAGAGCTAATATGGTGAGATCCCTACACAAGCCAAGCCCTCAGCCCACCAGGCAGTCATTTCTTTCTTTCGTGCCTAATCAATATTCCTTTTCTACATCTAACTATCTTGAAGGCTTCTTTAACTTCCAAACTTCGACAATACTAGCAAATAAAACTTTAGCTTCTTCTGTTCCCTGTTGTCACTGTCTACACCTTGGTTTACCTGTGGTTGAAAGAGAAACCCAGCTCCTCCCTTTCTCACAAACATTTTGATACCCTATACTGGGGCTTTTTGGTTTGCTGTCATTGGTGTTCAAGGCCAGGTTGGATGGCCTTGTCTAGTTTTAGATATGGAGGTTGGTGGCCCTGCGTGCTGCAATGGGATTGGGGTTTGGTGATCTTCGAGGTCTCTTCCAACCCAAGCTATTCTATGATTTATTTGTTCTCAGAATTCTATTTCTTACAGTTTAGGAGGTTCTACATCTGAGAAGCCAAACAAGCTGCAGCTCCTCACTGCAGGCCCAGCAGCATATCTAGCCCATCATGCTTTCTCTGAGCTTCCTACCACTTACGGGTCTAAGCACGCTCCTCATAGGCTTCATTCCAAGCATAGAGAGATGAACAGTCAGGCAATGGCAGTTTGTTGGAAGGCACAGCAAGGTGATTGACGGAAGTGAACTCCATCTGAACTGGAAAAGTCAGAGTAATTCCATAAAGCCCAGACTGAACACATGCACACGTGCATACTCACATACACATTTACTGTCCATATGTTTGTCCTTTAAGGCCTAAGTCAAAGCGCTGGTAACCTGCATCAGGCACTGTGGCTGTCATCTCTGCACCTCACTGCCTTTAATGTTTTTTGGGATATACTACCAAAAGCCTTTGAGAACAATAGGAATCTTTACATCAGCCTCATTGAGTTTCATATCAGGACCTGAACGCCTGTTCTCTGCCAAAATCTGTGTGCTGCCCTATCTCTTCTCAGTGATTTTCCCACATCTGCCACAACTCCCTGTCTTCTTTATAACATCTGGTTGGCTTTTTTATGCATCTATATCTAAGGGCTGAATTAGACACATGACTTTTAAATTGCTTAAAATATTGTGGCATCTTCCAACCTACTACTAAATTGTACAGATGGGTCAAATTATCTGCTAAGATCTGCTCAGTGGGTCTTACTCTGGTGTTTTCTTGTCTCTAAATGTGCAAAACAATTACGTGAAAAGGAGTTCCTCCTACTCCAGCTGAAATTTATGGCTCCGAGCTGAGGAGATAAGTTCAGCTAAATATTTTGTCGGCATGTAGCAAACCAAATGTGAGTCAGGGTCTGATATTCTCTGCACGTCTTCTTGGCTTTCCTGTATGCATTTATACTTGTATATCTCAAGAGCTGACAGAGCAGCGATACAGGTTTCAGTCATATACTGAATACGCACACACCATAATATCGATACACTTATAATGGTCTTCATATGGAAAAATTCTAGCAGTTTCAAATGATTCACTAAGATTTTGTTTAGGTATTCATGTCTGAACCAGAAAATCTCCAGAGGGTCATTTTCTTGCTTGATAAATCAGAAAAGTACACATTTTCATACAAGTATTTTAATACAGGAAATATGAGTCTAGTCAGTATCTTTCCACATACATGTGTCTGAGTGGTTTTTGATGTGAAACGCTGCTTAATGTCTTTTAAAGTACTATTTAAACAACTTCACATGAGCAACAAGCAATCGATGCCTCCCACTTTCTAACGCTAAAAGACCAGCGCTGAATAAAGACTGTTTTAGATTCACATATAATGAATAAAACAGAAACAACACAGAGGAGAATGAGAAGAGAACAGCAACAGGGCATTATTTACAATGTACATAGCCTCAAAAATGTAAATGGTCACCCCTGGCTTGGCTCTCTCATGGAAAATGTAATTAAAAAAAGACAAAATTGTGCAATTAGAGACCTTTTGCTGAGGTATGGCTCAGCCTGCTGTATTTTGTGAGGGCTGGCACGAATGGCACTGGAAGCACTGGGCAGTGTCCAAGCAGGCCAGAAGCAACTGATTTATGGCATAACGAAGAGTGTAACCAGAGAATAGCTCCTAATAAACGCATCTGAAAATGAACTGCAAAGAAATGATGGATTGATAGCAAGGAACAGACCCCCAGGATACAGTGGCACTCGTAAGCTCCCATTTAACTCTGGTTTCATTCCGTTTTGAATGGAACTTGCAGAAGGAGAGAAGGCTTTCCTGAGAAACCATGTTTTTGTCTGATAAAGCATAGAGCAGCTCAGAAAAGAGTCCTAAGCACCTCAGCAGAGGAAATGGGAGACAAAGCTGCTTGCCAGCATGCACTAGCTATGTTTGCATTGCTTTCCTTTCAGAAAAAAAAATAATCTAAGCCTTTTATTAACATACCCTATCAAGAGGATTACTGAACAAGGGTGCAGGGCTGTCACACATTGGGGGGGGACATGCAGTCTAAAATACAGAAAGTCACATGAATGGGCACGGTCACTTCAGGATTTTGTTTTAGCATCAAAAACGCTGATCAAGGGTTGGAGAAAATAAATAGACTCTTAAACAGCTTGGTACATCTGGTTCACCAAAAACAAACAGAAGACCAAGAAGTGACTTAATGGGAATACATTTGTCTCTCCATAAAACGCCAAGTAATAAAGGCTTTGCACCACAAAACCAACTGGTAGAAGAAAGATTTTTAACTCTTGGAAGAAAATATTCATAGAATCATAGAGACAAAGTTTGGAAGAGACCCCTAAGACCATGAAGTCCAACCATATTGAACAGACATCATAGTTAGCTGAAGGGACTTATCACAAAGAAAAACAAGAGACTTTCTGCCTCTTTGTGTGCTCAAATTAGGACAAGATGGTTTTCTGGAAAAGAGATTTCAGCCAAACCCAGTTTAGTCTTGTGCCAGACACAAATTATTGGTCTCAAAAGAGAGCTACCCTTCATAAGTGGATTACTCTTTACCAAACAAGACTAGACAAACTGTTGGTCCACCCTGACCCTAAATTGTCTCAGTCACTAAGTCTTTACTATCCACTTCAATAACATGTGGATATCAATGGTAATGTTAAATTATCATTGAAAACTGTATTAATGTATCATTTCTGGGTTGGAAAATTGAGTTAAGGGAGCACTTAAGCATATGTTAAAGTTTCATTGAATCCACAAGGACCCAATCTCATTCATCATAACATACATCCACGAAGCATGCTGCAGACAATAAAGATTTCCATGTAAAGCAAAACACAGAACTGTTGGTATCATAGGATCCCCATTTTCCACCTTTCTTTTCCAATGTTTGCAGTTTATCCAGTTACGGTTTTAGAACTTCTCTTTTACTAAGCACAGGTATTTCTAAAATACAGAAAAAGACAGAATGATGTTGATGTTAATTGTATTACATGGGACCAATTGAACAGCCTCTTATTACAACTGCCCGTCATATTCAAAAATACAATTAAGTGTGTTGAGTTTTTCTACATATTCTAGAAGTCTCAGATTGAATGTTAGTGTTGTGGATGTTTTTGTTTGTTTGTTTTTTTAATATATTTACTCAAAACAGTCTCTTTCAAAAAATGCAGGATTGGGAGAAACAGTCTGTGTTAAAACAATTCTAGTGCCCTTTTGATGAATAGCTGTTGTGCTTCTCAGCTTAGGGAGCTGGCAAGTACTGGAAGGTGACTTTTTTTGTGTGCTCATAAAATCTCCCTATGCAACACATGCAAGAAGCCTCTGAAGAACAAAC